GGTGCTTTGGTCCTTCAACCCTTATTCCTTTTTATGAGGAGTAGGTCACGCTGAGGCTTTTTCCTTAACGGGTAGAGGTCTTGGGGTCGCGATGCAGGCATTGCTATCCCCCTTATGTTGAGACATGGGACTAAAAAAGAAAGAAAGCTCAATTTCTTGCTATTTTTATGGTCGGCCCGACGACCTTACATGAAGTTGCCTAGAGTCCCCTGGCTATGCAATGCAATATCCAATCTTCAAACACTCAACCCCATGTTATTTCCAAGGCTGATTATCATGGCTGGTCCGAAAGCCTCTCATCAACAAGGCCACCCTCATGGCCGGTCTGGCGATCATTTTTTCAATAGTCATTTCTCAAGACTGACCCTTCCGCCCATTCAATCCTCAACTCTCTCATTCTTCAACACTTAATCTCTGTAACCGTCCCAACGGTCCCTGCCCTTCTTGGCTTTAGGGTTCCGCCTTCTTTACCCTGTCCTTCTTATTCACATCTTTTTTTCGCCTCCTTGGCTATTTCAGTGGCCGACTCACCGGCCTTTTCCATCTCTTCCGTCCATCCCATTGGCTATTTCAATGACCGACCCACCGGTCCTTTCCATCTCTTTCATCCATCCATTGACTATTTAGATGACCGACCCACCGGCCTTTTCCATCTCTTATTGCTCAGTCCAACACATTCACAATCAACCTTTCTCAATCAACCTTTCTCAATCAACCTTTCTCAATTCAATATGCAGGGGACCCCAGTGCCTATTTCAAAAGGAATGATCCTTGTCAGGGGTCGTTCCCGAACAACCTGGTGAGGGTCGTTCTTTTCCATTCTCAAGTCGAATGGCCTGGTTAGGGCCATTCCTTTCCATTCTCAAGTCGAACAGCCTGGTTAGGGTCATTCTTTTCCATTCTCAAGTCGAACAATCTGGTTAGGGTCATTCCTTTCTATTCTCAAGTCGAACAGCCTGGTTAGGGTCATTCCTTTCTATTCTCAAGTCGAACAGCCTGGTTACGGTCATCCCTTTCCATTCTCAATGTTAGTGTCCGAGGAGGTGGACCTCGAGGTTACGGATCCCATTTCTGTTTTGGAGGTTAGAAGGTGGTCATCTCATCTTTTGCGTGCTGTTCTCTTTTTTTCATTTCTCACAGTAATATATTATCCATTTCATTTCTCACAGTAATGTACTATCCATGCATACATTTGACTTAGCGTCTAGTACTCGAGTTGGGGCTCGCGACCCTTAGCAGCACTAGCCCACTTGGTCGTTCATCCATAACGAAAGACAGAAGCGCCCCTTCCATTTTTACTCTTTCTGATCACTCAGATTTCGACTTTTCTCAGACTCATTCATGACTCAGTTGGATTAGGCTCCTAGGGAAGGAGTGTTCTTCACGTCCCTTCACCCATAGGTTCCCTAACCTCTCTTGTACTCGACCAACATTCAATGCCTTGCTTTGCTCATCAATCCGTACTCAAAATTTCTTTCCTAAAAAAACACAATCCTCATTCCATCCAAATTTCACAATACACCATTCCCAACTGGTCTCATCCCATGCCCCATGTCCTTGTCTTTTGTACCCACTTTCGAAGGTAGCTCATCCAAAAGTAGCCTCAATACACTATCTTCTAATGTTATCACGACACAGTCTTAGTTGACCCTTCCATCACTCATCCCTTGTAAGCTTACTCATATTATACACATTTTCCTCCAATGTTTTGCAATTGAGAAATAAACCCAGGATTCTTGTCCAACACTCAATTAACATCTAATGCCTATTGTTGTCTTGTGCCTCGACTTGCTCGTTTCTTGGTCCACCATGTTCCTCAGATGGTTGTCTAACCCCCAGGCCAAAGGTCTCGATTTCTCTCCTTATCCTTATAATTTTCCGTAACTCTGCCTCGCTAAAAAAATTCAATGGTGTGGCTTTCACCCCTGCCCTTGCGAGTTTCCGAGTCTTGACAATCCATTCGTGCCTGATCACATTAGTCCACTGCTGAAACCAATGACTGGGTATTGGTCTAAACTCGTCCTCCTATCTGAAAGCCCCGTCGCCCGGCTGGTGCATCGGGGGCTGCCCTTCTTCCCTAGGTCTCGAGATCTCATCTCTCTCATCCCCGCTGCTGATTTCTGTGACTTTTCATACATTCTCCTCCTCGTCCGTCCTCCTCGCCTTCTGTCTGTATGGGGCTATACCCACCTGCAAGGTTCTTCGGATCGTAGGTAAAAGGAATCTATGTCCCCGTTCCATACCCCTCACAACTGCCATGGCTGCTTCGTCCTTCAAGCGGGCTTTCCCTTCTTTCCTCACCCTCCTCATGTTCGTCGCGCATGTCTTGTTTCCGCTCGCTTTCCCCACGCCAAGTCTCACGTCGTTTGCCCCTGTTAGCTCCTTCCTCGTCAGAGACCTGAACCTTATCTCCCATACCCGCATTGCCTCCTTCTTCTAGTTCTGCCTTTTCCTTCCCTCCCTCACTGTCAGATGAAATTTCTATACCTTCTCCCTTACGGAGGGGTGAGGATTTCCTACACAAGCATTTCCTTCGACCCCTGCCTAGCACTGAACCACCCATGAGTCCTATGTACAACTTTCTCTTCGCTGCCCTCCTCCCTTGGCTTGGTCCTGCTTCCTCCCCTCTGGTAGGCTTGTTGATCGCCCCGCTATCGTTCTCGTTGTCGAATTCTATTTTTTTGCCTTTTTTCGTTTTTCTCTTAGATCTTGTATAACAAAACAACACCCGCAATACCCCGCATACGCACATTCCGCCCAGTCCGGTAGACAACTCCCCTTTCCCAAAAAAATGCTCCCAGTATCTTTCGCATCATGCCCTTTTTATACATTTTCCTCCCTTATGCAAAAAACATCGTTTGTGAAGATCCCATTTTTTTCCTGTCAAAAACTATGGTACAATGCCTCAAACATCCCTTCCCGTCATCACACAAGCCAGATATTGCAAAGCCCCAAGTCATGCTGCCTTTCATCCTCAGTCAGTCCAAGCCATTGCCCCAGTCCCCCAGAAATGACAGTCCCATGGACATGGTCAGAGACAAACCATAGTGTGGGCAAGGCTGTGGTCAGTCTTAAGCTTGCGGCCCCTCAGTTTCCTTATCTTCGGTCTCCTAAAGCCATTGTTTCACTGAATCCCGACTTAGAAACCTGACCAATCGTTGCCCCGGGAAGGGCCCTTTCAATCCAGTTCCGTTCAAATCTTCCAGTTCGAAGGTGTTCAGTCCCACCCGCTTGGCGACCCGGTAGGGCCTTTGAACCTTCTTCCCAACTGTCCCGACCAAGTACTTTCTAGTGCCGGGTTCCTTAGCAATACCATCTCTCCCACTTGAAGTGGCTCCTTTCTGATGTTCTTAATCTGGTCCCACCTTGCTTTGTCCCTCATTCTGCTGTCTAGTACGCGGTTGGCGATGTCTTCCATGACCTCCTCGTTCTTAAGGATCTGTTGATATCTTGCCTCGATTAACTCTTCAGTAGTCATTTGCGGATCATCATGTATCCTATTCCAGGTAGGTACCAAGGCTTCCACGGGAAAGTCGATCTCTCTTCCGTACCAAATTTCCGTCGGGATACATCCTGTTGTCCTTTTAGGGGTCATATTCTCCGCAAAGACAACCTGCTTAAGATACCTAGGCCAGTTCCCCAGACGGTCCGCTGCGAGCTTCGCAATCGTGTTCTTCAAGGTTCGGTGCCCCCTTTCCACAGGTGCATTGGCCTCAGGGTGATACGGCTCGATGAGTTTGATCGGTACGAGGAGTCTCTTAAGCATCCTCAATACTTCTTGGTTCACAAACTCTGTTCCATTGTCTGCTATAAACCTCCTGACGAACAGATGCCTCAAGTAGAAGTCTTCTATCCGGTCCGCCACACTCCTCCCTGTCTTTTTCTTGAGGGAGACCGCCTCCACGAACCCACTTAAGTTGTCTCGCGCATCCAGGATATACCTGTACCCATCCGTTGATAAAGGCATGATCGCAAGGTCGAGGTGGACCAGATGTCCCGGCCCTAGCACCCGCGTTGGTCTAAGCGGCTCGAAGACCCGCACCGAGCTTCGTTCGTGGCAAATAAGGCAAGTTGGGCAGTATATGGCGACCATGCCTGCCATGCCTGGCTAATAATAGAGTGGCGTTATCTTTGGAAGCGTTCCTTTGGACGACCGATGACCTCCAGCTAACCCGTCGTGCATTGCCTGGATAACGTCTCCTTGCCTAGATCTTCCGCACACAATCCTTCTGGGCATAGCACCTTCCTCCCTTCAGAACAAATGCCTGCCCCTTAGGACATATCTTTCGGCTTATTCTCTTGCTTTAATACTGACTTCCGTAGGTTGTTTGTTGCCTACCAGCAACAGCCCGATTTCTCGAAAGAGCCCTTCGTATGATTGGACATAGAAAAACTCCTCTCCTTCTTGCCCCCATCCTTTCCTTCCTGCATCTGATTTACCACCCATTGCAACTCTTTTCTTTCCCAAGATTCTACTAAGCTCATCACTGTTTCCCGGCCTCTCTCGATCGCCATTGCTATTAGCTCCTCTTTCGGTCCTACTATCGCTCCCCATGAGTCATTTTCTTCTCTGCGTCCTCGAGTGGTGACTGGTCCTTCTCTAAGTTCTGCTACTACGGTAGATGCCCCCTTCTCCAAAGTCTGGATCAATAGTTCTTCCGATGTGCATCCTTTGCTCATCCTTTCGTTATCCACCGCAAGAGTCCCTCCTTCGTATTCGAGGAACGCATCTATGGGCTCCGCATCCTCCACCCCTTCGGAAGTGATGCAGACTCAGCTCAGCCCATTAGCCTTGTTCCTAATTCCCGCAATCCGTTCGATCTTATAATCGAACTGCCAGATAAATCCTACCCATCTCCCCACCGTCGGATTTATAGGCCTGTAATTCTTTAAGGCCCCTGCAACATTCATCGAATCGATCCTGAGGATGAACCGCTTCCCAAATAGGTAGGCCTGAAAGGTCTTAAGACAGTGCAATATGGCTAGGACCTCCTTCTTGAACTGTGGATACCGCCGCTCTGCGGAGTTCAAGGTCCTACTTTCAAACTTAATTGGCCTTTCTTTTCCCCCCTCATCCCCTTAAATCAACACACCTCCTACGACCAAAGGTCCTTCATCCGTCTCTAGGATGAAGGGTCGTCCCACTTCGTCATTAAAACAAGGCGCGAACAGGGCGACTGTCTCAGATGTCAATATGTCCTTCAGCCTTTGGACAACTCCTTCTCGCTCCTCCGTCCAATCCATGGTTCCTTCTTCCCTGATCATAGCCCAGATAGGCTCAGCAATCTTGACAAAGTTCTTAATGAAGATCCTCCAAAAGCCGACTATGCCTATGAATGCCCTTACCTCCATCGTCGTGCGCAGTGGCGTCAACCACTGGGATATCTTGTCGGTCTTTGCCAGATCCGGCTTCCTGCCGTAAGCACCGCAACGAAATCCTAGTATAGTTACCTCCGGTACTGCTAGGATACTCTTTGGTCCACTAGCCGTAATGTTGTATACTAGGAACCGGCGGAGTAAGTCCTTGATGTCCTGCAGGTGGTCCCACACAAAACGTCGGATCCCTGGTTGGACTTCCGTCTCGTCCTTCTCCTCCGCGCCTTTGATCGGATTGTCATCAATGTAAGGCTCACATTTTTCTGGGAACATGTCCCCGGCCACGACGAGCATCCTGCGTTGCGCTTCAGCCACCTCGTTTGTGAATCCCATAGGGGTCACTTGCATCTGTAGCTGGCCTACGGGGGTGTGCATAGCTGTGTATGGCCTGTCCCGAACATCCAGTGGAAGTTGGTCGTACCCTGAGTACAGATCTATCAGAGAATAAACGCTCCGACCGGCGTGCAATTCTGTTAATAAGTCAGCCTGAGGTAGCGAGTCAGCATCCCGAATGGTTACCGCATTCAACTTCCGCAGGTCCTAGATCCACCTTAGTGTCTTGTTAGGCTTCCGAAAGACGAACCACTAATTTGCGTATGGCGACGCCGTAGGCTCCGCAACGAAAGAGTCAATTTTCGCTCGGAGGAGGTTTGTTACTTCTCCTGCTATCCCAAATTCATAGGACGGCCCCTTGTCATTCCAGCACTCATGTTCTACCGTGTGAATTCTAACTGGAGGGATCAGCTTCGCATCCAGTCGTCCCTTCTGGTGATCACTAAAGGCAAATGCCAGGTGAAACTCCTGGCAGGTCCTTTTCATCAGGCGGGTTTCTTCTTCCGTTAAGAACTCGTCTATCCCAATCTTCATTGTGTCAGCTACCTCATCTGGTATCCAATGTCCCTTCGTCGCCTTTCTTTCTCGGATCACTCGAAGGACCTCTTCCTCCTTCTCCATAGCCTCTTCCTTTGATGTCTCTAGCAGGATCGAGACCGGTTTCGCTTTCTTCCCTACCGGCTTGTACTTTCGAAGACTTCCTTCCGGGATCTTTCTCCTAAACAATGAACAGTCGGAATCGCCCTCGTCGCCTCCACGACTCGTTGTTGAATACTAACTAGCTTCCCATTCAGGCAATATCCCCTTTGCACCTCTCCTTCGAACTTGGCCAAGGTTGTTGAGTCTACTCATACCTTGTGGTATCTGAGGGCCTTGATGAGTTGTAATAGGTCGGGGATCTCGAGTGCGACTTCTAGCACGTCTGGGCGTACTTCTTTTCGCTTGGGCAGGCAAGCACCAAGTTCGACCTCTGACTCCTTTTCTGCTACCATAATGCCCAGAACTTCGTCCTCCTGCCTCCTCTTCTTCTGGGGCAGGCCCATCTTGATCCACTCCTTCTTGTTGAATGTTTCCTCAATCATGATTTCTACCCTTTCTCTCATACCCTCCATCCGTGCGAAAGCCCCTTTTCGCATACTATCCTCGAACGACGGCGACCATGTTGCCAATTTTTCCTTCGGGAGGTTTCCTCCCGTTCCAAGGAGTCGAAGGAGCTCTCTCTGGCCAGTCACGGGGTCCTCTATGTCTATCATGTATGAGCCATCATGCAAGTGCATGCCTGTCATCTCCACGTTCGCGCACCACGGTCTCCCGAGGATTATGTCTTGGTTCATTTCCTCCATTACGGTCATCCGCTGAAACGACTAGATTGATTCTCTGATTCCTGCCTTTACAGCGCACTTCGTGACGTACCCTGCGAACGGGATTTCCCCGCCTGCTCCCCGAATGCTCCCTGTTACTTCCTTGTTTACCGTACATTCCGTAATCGTTGCAAAATCTTTTCTTATGAGAGTGATTTTTGCTCCCCCGTCTACTAATGCGTCGATATGATGACTCCCGATCTCGATTTTCTGTTTCCTTACAGGCAGTGCATGACAGCTAAGCTTCATCCTGGTTGGTGATTTCATGACTTCGCCGCCCTCTCGATCGGGCAAGCTCAAACGAATGTCTGCGAAGGCTTTTTCGAGATCCTCCAAGTTTTCGTGACTCCTCTGAAGGTTAGCCACTTCTTGCGGAGCTTCCTCCTCCCTCTCCCCTTCTGGTAATTCGGGGTTGTCGCCTTTTTCTACTCGCCTCCGAGTCAACAGTTGTCTGAGCCCTTTGAGCAACCTAGGGCTAGCCTGCAGCATGGTATGAAAAGACACCGACGTCAGGGTTCCTAGTAACTTGCTAATGGTGTCGTCGAGCTCAGGCAAAGTTAAGATCGGGATTTGATACCGAAACTTCTTCTTAGCGGCGGTAACCTTGTCCGCAGGCTCCTCTTCCCTAGGCTTCACATAGACTTTCTCTGGTTCCTCGGCCTCATGCTCTGCCTGGGGTTCGGAGCTTCCGGCGACCTCCTCCATAACGGTGTCACGGTTAATCCTTCTCCCGACCGTTCCCTGTCGAGTGGTTGCGTTCATCCTATCACGTTCGTCGTTTTCCAAAATAAAGTTGACCTGCGGTCCGCGGCCCCGCAGTTGATCCCAAATGATATCGACCACCAGCTCAGCTTCTACGACCGTTATCTCTAATCCGTTGAGCATGATAACGACTCGTCGCATTCCCCCTGGTGAGTTCCAATTCACCCGCTCTGTCTGTGGTCCGAATATCTCTCCCTTTAATGACCTGGTGCATCTCCTCTTTAAGATATCATGGTTGAACTTTGGACATGCACGTACATAATGTCCCATCGCGGTGCAGTACTTGCATTGCTCGTTAGCAGGATCTCTCCGTCCGAATCCCCGGTTGGCTACACCTGGCGGAACCATAGCTTCCTGGGGAGGGAGGGCGGATCGGGATACTTGCGCCTGCATAACCAGTAGTGCGCCCTCCATCCTTTCAATCTTATTGTTGACCCCGTGCACCCGCTCATGTAGACTTTCAATCCCCTTCTTTACCGTATCGCCTGTTCTACCGGTAAGATCTATGACCTCCCCTTCCTTAAGCAAGGCCGATGTTTCCGTTACTATCGTCTTTTCGGTCAGATCCGTTACCGTACTGAAATCAACGTCCCTAGTGTTTACAAATTTGCTCGTCTGTTGGTAAGCCGGCAGCATCTTGTCCTTGTCGAACTCGGAGAACTGTCTGAGGAAGTACTTACTCATTATTCGGTCCGTGACCCCGGGGATTCTTAGTGCTACCAAAGTAAACTCCCGTAGGAAGTCATTGTACGTTGCGAAGTTCTTCCTCTGGACTGCCGCTAAATCGGCCTCCATTGCCATCTTCTCTGCTGCCAGATATTTTCTCATCATCACATCTCGGGTTTCTTTCCAAGACCGGCTCGCGGCCATAATTGTCATTATGTCCCGCCTTAGGCTTAAAGACACATGCTGCCCCAGGTGGTCCAGCTTCTTTTCTTCGGTCCATTTCAATAACGCAGCCAGATTCTCGTAATCTATCAGGAATTCCGTGATGTTCACCCCATCAAACGTCAATTTTTCCTTAGCATCCGCTAGGTAGCTTCAATTTTTGTTTAATGCTCACGCGAGGGACGACACTATCTTCTTAAGGCCGCCCTCGGAGCTGCTGGCCTCGCCTGCCATACTGTTATCCGGACCTTCCTTGCCGGCCTTCTGTCCCTCCCTGGTTTTCATAGTTCCTTCCGGGTCAAACCATCCCACACTCTTTCCCTAAGGCTCCAAAGTCCTTCGCATCCTCGTGCTACTGCTGGCGTGGTCGGCAGGCGGTTAACCCTACTATCCACGGCTTGCAGAGTCGTAGTCTTTTCTGATTCCATCCCCGGAGAGTTCTGTCTCTCTTTCCTTCTCTTGCTCGACCTTCCCCCACGGTCACTACCTTTATCCCTTTGTCCAGTCCCCCCTCGACTGGCTTTCCATTCGTCCCAAGGTTCCTCCTGCAGAGGGCCTTCTTCGTTCGCAGTCATCATTTCCTCAATCAATCTTTCCTTGTATTCCGCGGTCATCTTTTCTATCTTGGCTAGTTTGCGCCTCGCATCCGTGACCCTTACTTTCTCAGACATGGCTCCTTTCGAGTTTCGGGGGCTTGTCCTATCCTTATTTCTGTCCTCCTTGGTCTCCTGAGTCCTCTGCCTGCTTCCTCCGGCTTTCCTCGAGCTCTCTCCTGTGGAGATTTCCTTCCGGTTCCCCTTGGTACCATCCGGATGTATTGATTCTCTGTCCTTCTCTCCCCCCTTCGCTTTGTGCGGCACTGCCTCCTAAGCTTGGTTCTCCTTCACTCTTACGGTTATCTGTCTCCTCCTCCGTTGCCATTTTGCCTAGTTCTACATAAGCCAAAGAATTCCTAGGACACACGCAATGCGAGGTATTTAGGTTCCTTGGGCTCCCAGCTGTGTTGGCTTATCTTTATAGCCCCCTTTCCTATCCTCGTTTCCTGATTGCCCTTCCTTAAGGAGGAGCCACGACTGGCCCTGCCGCCCAACCGAGCTATGAACGTGACTTGGCTTCCTTTATCACAAGCTGGTTTGTAGTGCCCTTGTCCCGTCGGTCGATGCGAGGGAGTCCGGGTTAGGCATCCTGTTAGGGGAAGTCTTCCCCAGCAACATTTCCTATTTTTGACCCTCAGGGTTATGGTCAATCATTAGGAGTCTGCCCCCTTCTTTGTTTTTTTAGTGGGTTTTAGCCATCCAGGCCCGAGGCCCCTTTCTTATTCCCATCAGCGAACTTCTGTACGCAGCGAACTATACTCGATCTGCCCTATTGACCCGCCTGCGGATGCTAGTCCCGCTCTCGCCCTCGCGGCTCTTCTGGTTCGGTCGGCTCCTCGAATAGTTCAGCCACCCCTGCTAAATAACTCTCTCCTATCTCAATTTCCCTCCTGATTATGCGTTGGCATCCCGCCCAGTCTAGCCGTGGCGCCCTAAACATTAGGATGTGGATGACTTCCAGTAACTCGTGGGCCCTGTTTCCCCAGAACGGCCCATGCTCCACACCGACATCGTAGAACATCCCAATGGTAGGGGAGGGAAAGTGGCCTGCCCAGACTATCGCTGAGTCTACCAGCTCCTGCGCCCTTGTGAGGCTTCCGAAGACGAGGTCTATCATAAAACGGGGCACTCGGCATCTCAGTGGCGTGGTCGGTGCCCTGAACTCCATCCAACCTCCCATTTCCACCCGGGCAAATAAGCCCACGTTCCTTCTACCCCTGACTGATTGTCCTATCCGGGTCAACGTCCGGGCGGTCCTTCGAAAGACCGGTGCCAGCTCATGACCTTGTGTTATTTCTACCCCTAACGAGTGTCAGCCGATCTCAGGCAGATACATGGTCGTGGTAACTTCCAGATTGGAATACAGATCGTCCCCGGATCCTCGATTGAGTCTCATCCCTGTCCACCGACATTCTACCAACATGAAGGCGGCGTCCCGTCCCAAAGTCACAGCCCGCCATTCTATGTCGAATCCCCGATAGGTAGAACTCGACGGGAGGGATACTTGCCAACGTCCACCATTATTCCAAGGCGGTCCGGGGTACCCGGGCTGGCGTTCCATTCGCACACGAGGCTGGCATTCCATTCGCTCACGTCTTGCTGCCATCGTTGCCTTGGTGATTCCCTGCATAGTCCACATAGAAAGAGTTACAACCAATCCCCAGAAACTGCCCACCTACTGTCCTCTTTGTCCTTCGATTTTTCTTTCCTCTTTTCTAGTCTCACTATCCTTCCATACCCCTGGGAGTAGTAGCCCCCTCTGGCAGCTCGTACAACTGGTGGAGATCATCTACGTAGGTCGCGCCCCGACCTACCTCCTGCCGGATGACTCTCCACATGGTCTCATCACTTATCTGTGGGACTCCCGGCCTAGTATTTGCTACTCCTCGTAGAATGCAAAGCACCTCGCGCCCCTGTTCGTCCCCAAAAGACCCCATCTCTAGGAAGGCCCGATAGTATTCTCGATACATTAATGCTTCGTCAAGATTTAACCTAGTTACGGCAGTCACCGCCTGCTCCACTCGTTCTATGCCTCCCATTCGTCTTAGCAGGAAGGGTGGTAGAATCATTCGTACGACCTTATTTGGCAGCTCAAAAACCCCCGCCGCGGCGACTTTTACCTCCGCAGTCACGTCATCTCGTTCAGGGTCTGCAAACTCAAACCCCTCCCGCCAGGTTATTTGCCATGCCCCTTCGACCATTCGCACGGGGTCATGCCCGGAAGCCGAGGCAATCCCAAAGGTCCGCCATCCCTCTTCCGACAGGTGTAAGGATCCTGTCGCATGTACACGCCTTGGGAGGTTCAGGTCTATGCCCCCGAACTCCCCTCTCGCACGCCATTCCAGCTCAACTACTAGGTACACCGTATCTTCCACCAACTCTACCCCTACCCAGTCCATTACCGGATTGCTTACCTCATTTCTTGCCGGTAGGCTTATTTCGACCCTGCCTTCTGATATTCTTGGTGGCAGGATCCCACGAGGTCTATCCTCCCAAAATATCATTCGTCGGACCATCTTGCAATGTCTCCTTTTCTGCTTTCTCAGTCTGATTGCTGCACTCACTGAGATTCCATGTCTTTCGTGTTTTAGTCTTTCAGCCCTCCCTACTTATCGTACACTGATTTTTGCCGCTATCCCCAACTCATACACGCTCAATTTTATCCCCCCCCCATTTTTCGGTTGCTGCCACTTCCCCCTTGTTTCGATTCTTATGCACCATCTACGGCCTAATGTACACACTCTCTTTCTTATGTTACACCTCAATTCACAAACACCCTCCATACTCAGGCTTTTTCACGGTGTTCGATCCCTTGGCCTCATTCAGTCGAACCATCGTACCTCAAATAGTTTAAGGACATCGTCTACGTAGGAGGGTGCGGCCGCCGCCTCCCGGCTAACTATGGTGTCCCAAAACTCCGCCTCTACCTCTAGGCGGTCATACCTGCCTATTCTTAGGACGATGATGAGTTCCTCGGCTTTATCTCTGTAGAAGGGCCCATATTTCAATGACAGCCTATAGAACTCCTCAGTCGGTCAGGCACACTCTATATGCACCTTCCTCATGGAGTCGGCAACTTCTAGAATGTGCTCAAACCCCCCAAACCACTCGGCTATGAACTCCGGTACCCAGGTCGTTATCCGTACACTTGGAGCCTTAAGTTCTTTCCATCCTCCCATCACAACTCTGCTACTAACTTCGTCCCATCCCTCGTTGGTGAACCGCTTGCCTTCTTTTCGGGTTCGGGCCTGCATTTCTATTCCTCCTTTGAGTCGCCGTGGCTCCCAGCCTTTGAAGGTGTATTCCATCATCCTTTCTTCTCTAGTCATCTTTCCCTTTCGTGCACAATACAAGGTCACCCGTTCCCTTAAGTTAAGTTACCCCACCCCTCTTAGAAGTCTCAATCCTCTATCTCTTAATCTTCGTCTTCATCACTTAAGTCGTCCTCCTAGTCGTATACCAGCTCTCTTACCCCATCTAGAAACGTCTCCCCTATTGCCACATTCCTGTAGACAATCCCCCAATGCACAGCGCTAGGGACAAAGATATTGTCTATGCTAAGGCAGTTTAGTATCTCGGCCAGCTCCTCCGCCCAGTTCCCCTCGAATGGCCCCATCTCTACTGATAACCGAAAAAAATCTTGCCTAGCGCATTGGTATAGCCTGAGGTTCGTCATGGACTGGCATATCCGTACTAGCCTGCTCCGGGTTCCGAAAACCGCATTCATTAGGAAGGGGGACAGCACACATCGCATGGTTCTTACGGGTCGCCTCATACTTCCTCTATCCCCAAATTCCACCCGTACGTCTACCCTTTCCATTTCCATTTCTCTCCGTTGACATGCAGCCCACACAACCTTTGTTTCTGCCTTCCTAAACAACTCGTCCGGTGTATTCCCAAGTGCTAACTCTACTATCATAGCTTTCTCCCCATCTTGCGACAAGTAGACCCACCTCCGGGCTTCCACTGTCCCTCGGAATTCCAAATCCATTAAACATTGTGACAACCTCGTCAAGCTGACATTAGTCCATATTGTTTCTATCCAAAGGAAAGCAACCTCGTCAAGGTCCGCCCACGTCCCATTTTCTGGGAAGACGACCGATACCCCATCCTTTACATCTACAAGCATTTCCGGGCCGCTAGTATAGATCGGGGAAGACAACCATCGCGCCATCTTGTTTTCAGCACCCGACCCCTATTTTCATAAAAAGGCACCAACCGATCCTTTTGGTCAGGTCAACCCTTGTCCTAGATGATAATTATTTCAGACTCCTCATCAACGTCTCCTTATTTTACCTCCCCATTTCTAAGTACCTCCTCATAATTCCCTCGGCCGGCCATCCATTTGCCCACATTCTTTCTCTTGGTTCCATTCCAATTGACCTCTATCCTCCTTCCTTCCTATCATGTCTCACTCGTGCGGACTTAGATGGGGGGGGGGATAGACTTAGAAATATGTCCCGTCCAAC